CCCCCCCAGCCACTGCAGCACAAGTTCAATCCCTGGCCAGGGAGCTGACCAACCTCTTCTGCCCAGCCTGCTGCTCTCCTCCCCAGCTTGCTGTTCCCCTCACACAGCAGGTTGGAGTGCAGCACTGTAAAGCTGGCCACAGCCACCTCAGTGGGAGCTCGATCCCCAGCACAGGAGGTGATCCACATAGCGCAACAGACTCTCCTGTCTCACCTACTGCTCCCCTCAATAGTGTACTTTGTCAATCCACCTATTCTGCTCCCTACTCTGTCTCTGGTGAATTCTCTCACCACCCCTGCACCTCTGGCCTGTACCCGAGTTTTGGGTGCATAAATAAATAAATCTTTAAAAAATAATAATAAAAAAGAGATAAAATAAGAAAGTAATTTCTTAAACTACTCCAACCCTTTTTGCTGTCAGTACCAGTACTGATAGCGGGCTGGAGCCACATCTCCGCGAAATGTGATAGAGCCAAGACCAATTGAAAGTTCAATTAGACTACAAGGGCAGGTTCTTTATAATTCTTGGCAATTATAAAGTCAATGTAAACAGAAAAAATGCGGCGGGGTGGCTAGATGGGTGGGTGGGGTGGGTGGATGGATGGATGGGCCCTTCATTGTGCACCTGTTCAATGCAATGACAATATGCAAGGTCAACATGGGCCAACAAAGGACGAAAAGTCAGTCTTTCCTCATATCTTCTAGTTGTGTTTCCTCCTGTACTATACTCATTATCTCATCTGTCTCTTCCATTTCTGTTTATTATTTCATCTGCTACTTTCATCAATGTAGCTACACTGAGCAGGTAACCAAATTCTGGATCTCAAAAAAGAGCACTGTACCATTGAGATGTTTATGCAACAACGTCTACAGCTTAACGAGATCCAATGATTTCCAGTGTCCTCACATGCCTAAACTAGACTCAGGATTTCCAAGTCCACCGCCGCGGTGGCGCGAGCTGGAGACAGACTGTCAGCAATAAGGCGGAGCGTTCTGCACGCACGGAAAACTCGAGACCCAGAATCCCACCGGGACTCCAAATCCCAGAAACCCGCACGGCAGACGTACCCGGAGCCCCAAGTTCGCTGAGGACGCGACCAAGTTAGGACGCGGGGGTGGGACGTCACAGCATTTGTCCCTGAACATTTTTTCCTGTGGAGAAGGGGCTTTTTACTGAATTACGGTCCCCAGACCTTCGCATTTTCTCAACGACAACTTCGACAAACGGCCGTCTTCTGGCGTATAGGATGGGGCGGGCACAGCCTCCCCTTTGCTCGCCCTCTGCTCCGCCCCCCTGTCAGAATGGTTGAGCCAGGCCTCGAGGCGCCGGAGCTGGGTCCCGGCTTGCGCCCGCCCAACCTGGGAATGTGGGCCTCGGCCGCGGGAGCGGTGGGAGGGGCGGGGGCGGGGAGGCGTGCAGGGCCCGGGCGGCCGTAGTGGCTGTGGCTGCAGCGGGCGGTGGGAGGAGCCGCGCGGTTCCGGCTGTCCGGACGAGCGACCCTTAGGTCCGCGCCGCGGGCGGGTGGACAGGTAGGCGAGCGGGCGGCCGAGCCGCTGAGAGAGGCTTGGGTAGCGGAGTCCCCCCGCGGCGCCCGGCGCGCCCCCCGCACCCTCGGCCTCGGGCGTTGAGGCGGGGGAGTAAGGAGATGCCGACCCAGAGGGACAGCAGTACCATGTCTCACCCGATCGCAGGCGGCGGCAGCGGGGACCATTCTCATCAGGTCCGGGTGAAAGCCTACTACCGCGGGTGAGTGTCCCGGAGCCGGGGTGGAGTTGGGAGCGAAGGGAAAGGCCGGCTGCTCTTGGCCTGGAGGAGGGGAGGGTGAGGGCCCGGAGGCGTTGTGGGCGGGTAAGGCTGGCGGGCGACTCTGGCGTCTGGGATGGATGTCCGAGAGGTCGGTAGTGGCGCTTGGGGCAAGAGTATGGGGGCACCCCCAGGTGTGGTGCCGGGCGCCAGGGGTCTCTCAGCCGAGCGGCCTGAATAGTCTGGGGCAGGAGTCTTGGAGAAGAGTAGGATCTTCAATTTGATGTGTTGGAGAGACTCGCTTTCTAAGAGATTTGCAAGGGCTTTCGGTCGTTAAGTCTGGATTGATTCCGAGCGATGCCTCAGTTAAGTCAGTTTGCTGACTGCAGACCTGCTTCAGTTTTTGCTGGCCCTTTTGACCACCAGCAGGCCTGAAGCCTCTGGTTGTCTGAGGTTTGTTTTCATTGCCTAGAAGAGTTCACGAAATGTGCCTGGGTTACGGTCGTGTTGCCAGTGTTTTAGACACAGGAGTTATGATTTGAGGAAGGTTCGTGATTTTTTCAGGGACGTGCATTAGGTATTTAAGTCTCACCAAAATTAGATCGCATTTGTGTAAATGAAAATTTTGCAAATGCCTCTTTGTCAGTTTCTTCAAGGACCATCAGATATGGTGAGGAAGAATTGCAAGGTCAGAAGAGCAGCTAAGGCACAATTTTTAAATCTGTGATCTTTACTCATTATTACCTAAATTATAACTCCTGTGATTATGAGAAATAATCCAGCCCTAAGAGTGTTGTATTAAATCACATCTTATCAGTGACATGAAGTGCCCCCCTTCCTTTGAATTAGTTGTGATTTGAATTTTCTTGGAGATAATTACAATTTGGAGCATATAGAAAGGTGAAATGTTCATATGAAAATAAAGCTTTGAAACTAGGAGTTAGCAGAAAATCCAACTACTTTGGCTTGTCTTACTGCTTGTCCAAGCAGAAATAAATTACTTAAAACAAAAACTTAAGCGCTTAGGAGGTTGAAATTGCAATGCATACTTCTACATTCCTGAGAGGATCAGTGAAGATAGCAAAGTTTCAAAATGCCTCTCTTGTTTTGATTTCAAAGAAAATGAAATCCTCTAAATGTCTGTCTTATTTGATGTAAAGCCACATTAGCTTGTTTGCTATCATGAAACCCCTGACCTCTGTTTATTAGTTTGCTGTATTCAGAATTAGTTCAAAGATTTGTTTTGGATAGTATCCTATCAGTGTTTTTTGCTTAAATTGATCAAGGAGGCCTTGGTTTTAAAACAGTGCCTAGAAGCCTATGTGAAAAGTTTGTAGCTGTCACAGATGTTTTTACTTGAGAATGATCAGCTATGAACTTTGCACTGTGGGGGGAAAGCTTTGCTTCCTTACCTTTAATACAGTGGTTGAGATGCTTCATTTTAGAGTGTATTCCATTTTATGAAATTGACAGTTCACAAATTACTAGGTATAGAAAGTGAAATATAGTATGTGTTCCTTTTTTTAAAAGGTGTCTGATTATTGCTGGTTTAAAAAAAACAGATTAATGAATACACACATGAAATAAGAAAGTGCAAATTGTACAGAGGTAGAAAGTAAAACTTGTTCCCCACCTTCCCAATTTCTAGAGATAATTACTGTTAGTTTATTTTTGGTTCTCCTGAAGTTGTCTTTATAGCTTTAAAAGTTACACTCCTATTTCATGGTTTTCAAGTTAGAAAGTATATTCTTTCTATTGAAAGATGAGAAATTGGGTGCACACCACTTTTTGCTCCCTCTCCTTTTCCTCATTTGTAATTGTTAAACTATTACTTTTTCCACACCCTTATGATGTTTTAAATAATACACCTTCTTGGCTTATCAAACAACTTGGCTTTTTTCTAACAACTCCAGTTATGAAAGATGAATAAATTAGGACTTCTCACTATTTTCCTTTTTGTATTAGTTTAAAAATAGGCTTAGTTAATAAATTGAAATTGTCGCAAGCTTCACTTTTGGAAAGAAATCATAGTTACCTATCCTTTAGGAACGTGGGTGTCATATTTTTTGTCTTATTGTTCCAATTGTCTTTAAAAAAACAAAGTAAAGGACATCAACCTTTTTAGTGCTTTATTAAGATATCTCCAAGACATTCAAGTAAACATTTTCTTTGGTTTATTAAAACCTATGATTTTTGCTAAGGAAAGAATTAACCTCTTGTCCTTTAGAGCTTTTTATTCAATGAAAATTTTCTCATACTGCCTTCATTTCCAACTTTATTTAAAGACAACAGCAACACTCTAAATTGTACCCATTTTTATCCTCTGAAATGAGATATGTTGAGATTATATGTTTATTAACAATAGTCTAAACTGATGGTTATGATATATTGTCAGCTGCTCATTACTACAGATGAAACTGAAGTGAGTCACCAACAAGCATAGTTAATAAACAGGTTGGCTAACTGGAACACCTACCTGATTTTAAAATAGAAAATCCTTCCTTTACAACAAGAAAAAATATTCCTAACAATATTTCTTTCCATAAGCGCTAAATCTCAGAACAGCCAATCTCAGAACTTTTAGTGAATAAATTACTCTTTAAAAAAAAATGTATGCAGTGTTCTCATTCTGTAAATTTGTTCTTAGTGAAAATATGCTATTTTCCTAGATATTTAATTAGATTTTTAAAGTTTTAAAGCAGGGCATTGATAGCACTGAGAATAAGATTTTATTAGAAACCACTAAAGAGTCACTGCCTGTACCCCTTTTTCCTCTCCATGAGCACTTGTCAGTGAATGGCCTTCCCTCATCAATCATTACCTAGGGGTGTTAGTTTGGAGGAAGAGAAACAGGTTTTGTTGGTTAGTGATAGATTGTCATTGTATGCCCTTACCCGTATATAAAGTTACTTGATCTTAACAAGGAAATATGTGAAACTGCTCATTTCTTTACACTATAAATATATGGGATATTTTGCAAAAAACTTGTAAAAATGCTTTTTGAACTACTACTTTTGAGTAGTTACAGCAGTTCAGGGATTCTTTCCGTGCACATTTAGGAGTAAAAAGATAGTTAACTCCTCTCACATTTGGAACATTCATTAACGGAAGTATGCAGGGTTTTTCTCAGGTGAACAAGTCTTGGCAAGACTTGTTTTTTAAAAGTATTACCAAATAATTTTAGTGATATGTTTCAGTAGTGCTTCTAAGGAAGTGAAAATAGTATATTGCGTTGAGAGTTGGGGGAATGTTAGTGATTGGTGGGTCCTAGAGGTTCTCACTTGGCACCAAATCATAAGCCAACTGATCTGGTTTTACTTGAGAGAGATTTTTGGCCTGGGGCCAAAAATCAAAATCTAAACTACCCTCTCAGAAATTCGAAATTAGAGCATATGGAGGTACATTGCTTGTTAGCAGTGAAAACTGAAGCTGAAGCCCTGAGCGAGGCTGTGAGGCTAGGACCAGCTGTGTGCAAACGAATCTGTGAGGAAGCAGAGGTGAAAGAAGCAAACAGAAAAGTTCTCCCTAGAAATTATAGATTTATAATCAACTGCCAACCTCTTTTTAAGGTAAGTTGAGTGTTTTTTTAAATATTGAAATGAGTCTTTTAAAACATGAATTACTAAAATTTCACTCTTACTTAGGGTTTTACATATTACCAAAAAGTATTTAAAGTCAGTTTAATAAATGTTGTGAAACACCTTCTGTAAACCAAGCACATGGTACTAGGTTGGGCATTGTGGATGTAGAGCTAAAATGATGTAAGGCTCTGCCTTTGAGCATCTAAGGCAATTTTGGAAAGAAAGAATGCCCCTTACCCCTGAGAAAGAGGGAAGGAGAGAGGGAGAAAGTGAAGGGAGAGAGAGAAAAGGGATGAATATTGGGGAGGACTTTAGGGTGAGGGCAGCCTGTCTGGAGAGGGAAATGCTTTTATAAATGGATTTGCCTGGTGCATGAGGATGTTGACCAGGGGAATGAAGCCCCATTGTAAGAATTGGTCACAGGACTGTGAAAACTTAACAATTCATATACTGCAGGTCTCAGACTTTCTCATTGGTGAAGGTTTTGTTTTCTAATTTTTTTTCTTTTATTACGGTAACATTGGCTTATAATATTGTATATGATTTGGAAGTATAAGTATATATCTCTACAAAAATGTTACCATACCATGCCCACCACTAAAGTAGTCCCTTTTCATTGATGAAGGTTTTAAGAGAACTGTGTTATTCTGTTTTCAGTTTAGAAGGAGCATTCTTGGAACCAGCATGGGAGATGAACTGACAGTGGATGAGACTAATTTGGAGGCTTTGGGAAGTAGTCTGATGAGAAATTCTGAAGAGATGGAAAAGAGGATATGGGTTCCATGACAATTTTAGGGGCAGCCTGTGTGTATTAGAGATGTATTGCCTGTGGAGGAAAGACTGGGAAATAAAGATGGAAGAGATTTGTGAGAAAAGGCAATTCATTACCTGGAACAAATAATTGAAATTTGAGGTCAAGATACTTTGGAAGCATCTAGGTGGAAATAGAGAACTGCACAGTCATTATTGTGTGCGTACTCTTGGCCTGAGCACCACGCATAGTACCCTGCCTGTGTAGGAATACCGGCCAAGAGTAATAATAGAAACAAAAATGCTGCCTCAGTTGCCAAACACAGGTCACAAAGGCAAGGGACTAAAGCTGAGCTTAAAAAATATGGAAATTCAGGCCCTCCCTGGTGGCGCAGCGGGTTAAAGAACAGCACTGAGAATCTAAAGCCGCTTCTGCATGAGTTCGATTCCCGCCTGCCCCAGAGGTGACCACGTGGCCTGGCAGACCTCTCTTGACCCGCCTGCTGCTCCCCTCAGCAGTGTACTTCGTTGATCTGCCTGTTCTGTTCCCCACTGTTTCTGGTGAAGCCTCTCACCGCCTCTGGCCTGTACCCCAGTTCTGTATGCACAAATAAATAAATCTTTAAAAAAAAAAATGGAAATGCATAAAGTAGAAAATTCTCCCTGTAGCCT